TTTTTTTTCCAATAAGGGGTGGTTTTCACTCCTTAAGAACAAAAAGCACACCTAGCGCATATATAAGTTTTGAAGTGGGTGGGTAAGATGAGCCTAATTCTAAATTTTGAGAAAAATCGATGCAGTTATAAAAAATTCGGAGGTATTACTATATTTTCAGTTACAGTAACTGGGCTAATTAATTTCTATCGAAACGACGTGTAAATCCACAACACCGCGATTGGTTGTTCCTTGAACCACTATTACTGAAAAACTAATGTGACGTTAAGTTGACATATCTGTCTGAAAATTTAAAATTGTCCGTGATCGACATTTCCTCTTCAATATTCCAAAATGCATAGTACTCTGTGGGTACACATGTTTGCAAGTGACCCATATTTGAAAGCACAACGTCAAAAGCGCCGCAGGACGCCGCCGGACGAACCAGCGTTCCAAGAAGGGCTGCTGGCGCCGGTCACCAGACGCGTACCCATGAACGACCGACTTCAAACACAAGGCACTCTCCAAGGACTCTCCAGCTAACCCTCAAACCGTCAACACGTCTTTTTCCACAATATAGTTTTCAATAAAACAGTTTATTATTACCGTTGAGAAAGCGTTTTATTTCTTGCTGTACAGCGAAAGCAACCCTCAATTCATATATTTTTTTTATTAAATATAAATTTTTCTGCATCATGCGTAAGTATTGAAACCGCTAAATTTTATAGTTTAATTTTGTCAGACAAGCAAAAAAAACCGAAATTTTGTCGGACAATTAAATTCTCAGATTAATATTGCATTTTTTTAAATAATGACGCTTTTGTCCGACGGCTGGTTATCACCAACCATGTTGTCGTTAAGTCGACATCTTCGGAGCGTCGGACAGCAAAAACTTCTCAAGAATTTTGTCAGACAATAAGATACTTTCATTTCAAATCTTATTACCAAACCCTCCCAGAAAAATCAGCTTGCTGGTTGTCACCAACCATAATGTCACCAAATCGACATATTTGGGGTGGGGGACAAACTCAAAATACCAACATTTTTATCGGACAAATTTTTTGGGGGGTTTAAAAAATATATATATTTCATTTAAACTTAAAAAAAAAGTGCTGGTCATAACATTCCATGTTTATTGACCAGATTGACATGTTTTCCTGAAAATCACGGGAAAACTTACCACTGTTGAATTTTCCTCGTAGTCAAATCGTGGGAGACTCGTCAAACTTAAGCTGCACGCAAAGTTACAGCTTGCTGGTAATCATTTTTTTCTTTGTACGTGGGCCCGTGGACTAATACTTAATTACTTACTATTTGCTAATGTTATTTTATTTTATTGTTTTGATATTTTTTCCAAAAATAAAATTATTTCTACAAAAAAACCGCCCGTGGCATATTCTTTCCTGGAAAAAAGTTAGCGGACACTAATAGCATGTCATTAATTAAAACCGGGAAGTTTTCATCAAATAAACGGATTAATTTATAAGGAAAATTCAATAAAACGTAAAAACAAACCCAAATATCTCCTAAACGGCTGCTACTATTATCACCAAGAAACATTTTTCATTCATTTAACGTTACAGTACCAAATGTAACATTAATTCTACAAAAAACTGCCAGTGGCGTACTTTTTTCTTAGGAAAATGATGTGGCACCTCCAGTAGTGCGCTACTTTTTAAAGCCACAAGGTTAATATTACATTCAATAAAAGGTGCGATTAATAACACCCTGTATCTCGAATACTGAGTCCCGCAGGAAAAAAGTTTATAAAGCAAACTCTACTTATTCTGTATTTAAAGTGAAATCACCCTGTATATTCTGACTTCACGTGAAATGAAATTTTACAGATTTTAAAAATGCAAAAACATGTAAATTGGGAGTTACATTTTAAAAAATATGTCTGGGTTATAACTGAAAACCTGATTAATGTTATAGAAAAATATAGTGTGTATCACTGAATTTTCTGCAAAAAACTAAATATATACAGTGAAATTCCCCTTCACGGACACCTCTCTTACACGGACACCTCCCTTGGAAGGACAGTTTCTCATGTGAAACTTTTGTTAAACCATTTTTTTTTAAATTCTAAAATGCGTTTTTTGAGCCCTAACTGACTTTTGAAGTTGACGTCGTGCCGATTCCCGTGAAAGGCTACTTCCGGTCCGAATCAGAAGCTGAAAACATCTCTAATCGATTGGGCAAGGTCCATTTACTATTAATGTAATATAATTTTACAAAAAAAATCATTGCTGTATTTTTACTATGCAACGTAACTTTCAGGGGCTATAGGTGTTGCGGCTTCACCGCAAAAGGGTGTTTGAATAACCGTGGCGTTATAACAATAGGTCCAAAACACAGGGCATTTGCCATAAGCCACTTTCCATAAAGATTCTGCGGGACCCTTCAATGTCACAGGGAATAATAATTTTGTTTTACTACAACCTACTGGATGATAAAAGATTTTCATTACATACAAGGTCAAAAGTTACATGCATGATTTATGTCATTTTGTTAAAATTACATCACCCTACAAAAAATAAAATTCAATTTGATTTTGAAACTGATACTTGAAAACAATAAAATTGTGGTTTTAATGAAATAATAACAGATCTTTTTAAAAAACTATATTTAAAAAAGAATACGTTACAAAAAAAAACTAGAAAGCCATCTTGCGAACGAGACAGTGGAAGTTTATAAAAAATATATTTTGATTTTTTGAGATTACAGTTTTCAGTCCCATCTATATATCCACTGGACAAAAACAAAAATATGTTAAAAAAATCTGTTCTACAGACTTGGTATTTAAGACTAGCTGCTTGCTTTCACTGTAAGCAATGAACATTATTATAAGTGTCATTTTAATATTTTAATGACATTTCCTTGTTGACAATGTAAACCAGTGGATTAAAGCTTGGCGATAATTGCCGACTATCTCTGCCAGCTTCGTCGCTGCTTTAAAATCCAAGCCTTAAGTGACATTTCTTCTAACTTGTGATTAAGTAAAAAAATGCATGAGTTTATGGGTTGCAAAATTTTATATCTACCTTAATAAAATTTTAGCTGAAAGGGTTTTTAATAAAATATTGATATGCACATACTGAACCCCATTCTTAAAACACCTTTATAATATATAAAAAGTTCCAATAATAATATATGCCACAAATTTTTTAAATTTGGTAAAAAGTTACAATAAAATAAATGTTCAGAAAATGTTTAAATACAAATTGTAAAACTACAAGTATACAAATATTTTGCTAGGTGTTGTTGTTAAGAAATAGAAAAGATTTTTTTCTAAGCATTATGATTTTAAAATCAGAGTAACTATGTCTGGAAACTTGGATAGGATTAAAAAAATAGTTCAATGAATAAAGCATAATTCAAATTAAAATCAATCGTATATCGAAAAGGATCACATATTTTTGACCACCTTCCTATATTGTTTTTTAGTCACAAATGTTTACCTTATAATGTACTGTTTTTCAAGAACTCCTTTGATTCGATTTCGACAGTTTTATTTTTTTTGCTGGTGACATTAGGTCTTCCATATTTTTAACCTTTGATTTCAAAGTTATATCTCCATTAACTAATGTTGACACAATTTGATTATCAAATAGATTTGTCTGTACTGCCTTGTCTATTCCTAATTTTAACCCATGTAATATGGTCACTGGGTAATCTGTGCATAAATTGCAGCAAGTGTGGAAAGAGTCTGCACTGGACGTGGACCTGCTGCGCATCCTAATGGTCGATTGTGTCTTACTCTTTTCTCTTCTTCCAAAATTTTTCATATCCTCCAGACACTTGGAGTAAGTTTTCTGTATATCCTTTACATTGTCCACTCTAACAAGTTGCACCACAGTTGGCATGTCGATTTTCTTTTTGATTTCACAGTCATTATCTATGTGATATTTAGTGCGTTTCATGCTGGAGAATTTTTTTTTGCAAAAACTGCACGCCATGTGATTTTTTTTGTGCACTGTGTAAGACTCTTTAGAAAATAAAATTTTATTACACATTTTGCACAATATTACTTTTTCAGATATATCCGTGTCAGCAAGCAAACTAGTGTTTGGGGTGGAAGCACTGGGAATTGGAGGAATATTGTTTTTAAATGGATTTGTAAATAAATTATTTATCGGAGATACACTCCGGGGAGTTGTAGATAACCGAGATTCTTGTTTTATATTTACCAAATTGTGTAAGTAACACTTGCAGTCCATTTCTCTGCAGTTCACAAAAGTATCACAATGCTGCGTTGCTTTGTCCACCCCTTTTAGTCCTAGCTGTACTAAATCGTTGTTTGAATAATTATGGTTTTGCCAACCGTCTTTCAGCAAACAACATTGAATTTTGCTTGATTTTGTTGATACATTATTAGTTTGAGTATGCATTGCAATGTTAGGAACTCTATATTGTACGTATTTGTCACAAGTGGTGTTAGGGAGGTCAGTTTGAGTACTATTATGCAAGGCATTTTTCGGTAAATGGCATTGGATAGAAATGTCAATACCTGGTACATTTCGAGTTTCATTTTCCACCGTTGTACATACATTATCTGTATTTCTGATAAGTTCAGAATTTCTTTCACCATTTACATCTTCACCACTTTCACTATTCAGTGGGTCACAATACTTTGATTTAGATATTAACCAAGGTGCCAAAGCATCTTGCAGTTCATTAATTTCTGGCAAGACTATGTCACCTAAATCGAGAATTTCTATTTTACTGGATTTTGTTTTTTCATTTTTCTTAATCTGTGCCTAAAAAGATAACATAGTTTCTTCAGAATGGCTTTACTATCAACTATTTTATTAAAAAACTTGTTCACATAATGAAAAAAAAGAACGGACATTAATTAAATAAAAAACTAAAAAATCATTACTTTAAGTTAAAGTGCTTTATTTGTTAATTCAAGTAAATTTGTCATTTATACAAAACCTTGGAAAATATTATTTACACAAACACTGTTAGAAATTGGTTATGGAATTTGAGCATTTGCAAATAGCCACTAAATTACATAAATTACAAATTTTTCCAATAGCCTGTAGTAATTGTTTATTTTCAATGTTGGCAATATAATAATCACGAGCATGATTTTTGATTACTTTAAGGATATAAAAGATAAATTAAATGTTAACTAGTGATGGGCACTATCGAATGAATTCTACTATCGAATAATTACTAAACGAATAGTATTGACTATCGAATCTAATTCATTTGAATAAAATCATTCATTACTACTTTTAACCGCCATTGCTTAGACAACTACGAATTTGTGCTTTCTGACTTCTGAAGCTGAATGCAGCGCTGTTATACCATCTTCCCCGTCCCTAATGAAATTAAATATTCAAGTTTTGTTGTTTTATGTATTACCTATTTATATTAATGTTGAATTATAAAATTTATTTTGAGTTGTAAATATTTTTTTCATTCCGAGATGAACGGCCGATAACGATTGTTATGAGTCAGAATGTATTCATTCATTTGTCTATCGGATAAAACTAGTAATGAATGATTTTATTCGAACGATGAACGAATTCATTCAAATTTCAGTTCAATTAAACAAATGCCGTCGGGTTTATATTGTTACTTTTTCATTCTGCTGACTAATACAGTTTGTTTTTATGTGTAATAATAGTTATTAAGAAGTAGCAGTGAACGGAGAATTCAGTCTATATCGGTAAACAACGACAGACACAACTGCACCGCTGCCACGCATGCCGTAAATGTAACTACGATTCATTTGTTCGATTTTTATTCGAATAGTTAGTCGCTATCGAACTTATACTTACCTCTAATATATCTTCGTTTTCCAAACTTCTGGCTTTGAATACATAGAAGTTGTAACTTTGTACTGTGCATGGATAACAGATGTACTTATAAGTATCATTTTTCTCAAACTAAAAATAAAAAGGTTTTTCAAGGAACACAATTTTAAATGGCTGGAGTGTTATTTGGTTACCAAGTCTTGGACAAGATAAATAGGAATACATGTAAATTACTTCTAGAATACCTAAATCATGTTTAACGGTTTTGATAATATAATTAATAGATTAATTTTAAAAACTTTTCTTTCATGTAAGACTAAGGATTTAAAGAAACAAAATGCATTAGTTCATTAACTTTCTAATCGTGCTTATTATCCAATTACTTAACTACAGAAACTTGTGTTGCACAAGATTTATAATGAATAAAATAACAAATATAAATATTGAAAAGGACGAACCTTAATGCCTGTGGTACTTTCAACTAGTTTTCTAATATAGTCTCTATTCTTCCTACATTTACCACCATATAATGAGATTAATGCATGATCTGAAGAACATAACCTGCACTTAAGTTCTAACATTTCCCGTAATTTTAACAACCAAAGAATAAATACAATATCATTTTCTTCAACATAAAATGTACTATCCAGAATATCCTTGTTGAATTGGTTTTCTTAAACAATGCATTCATAAATTCATAAACAATTTCGTTTTCAAGGTTAAAATTCACATCAACATAAGCCCCATAGACATTATAAACTACTGGACTCGCCCAAATGTCATTTTGCCTATATAAACGGTAATCGCTCAGACGTGTGCGAGAGAGATGGAGCTAGTAAGGGCTTAAGCTTCGTTCACAGAATTTCGACTGCAGCGCGCTACATTTAATTCAACCAATCAGCTAGCTATACTCGATTCCTTACCCCTTTTTTTCTGTTGGGCCGTATTCAAAGACTTTATAAAAATAATATAGAGACCAAAAGACAAGAAAAATTCATTTTTTCCAGTAGTGTAGGTATGTAAAAGTGTTCATTATTATTACTGGCCTAACGTAACAGTACAATATTTGAATTGTTTTAGCTATAATATTCCAAATGGTTTTTATAATGCCTTATTTATGTAGTTCTCCATTTATTTTCCTCATATCGTAAACTCGATCGGTTATTAAAATTACTGCAAGCTCTTCTGACGTAGTTGTTTCAAATATTTCATATTTTCTTGCTTTGCAGAACTGTATAAATTGAAACTATGTCGATGCATTCTTCGTTCAACATATAATTTGAAGAGAATTTTTGCTAAGCAAACTTTTTCGTTATATTCGATTTGATGTTAAAAAATAGTTTGAAGAGTAACACATTTAAAAGCGGCAAAATGTGGACGTTAAAATGACATTTTATTTTGAGGATGGGGAAACAATGTAATCTAATATGTTATCATCGGAGACAACTCTGCTTGGTCATTATTTTTAGAAAGATGCAAAAAGTATAAACATGTTGGTACCATCATAACTTCTTTCCTACCCATGAAATTAAATTTTTTCTCCAGTTAAACGTGTCTTTATGCAATTTATCGCAGAACTCGTTTGCACCGTATTTAGTTTTTACGAATCTTTCACATACACTAACTAAATCACACAAAAATTCAAGAAATCAATCGATAATGTCAATACATGACATTTACTTCAAAGGTTGTTTATGGCATTTTGTTACGATATACCTGTGTACCATCAGCGCGATTGACCTCTCTTTCTAGGGCCAGTCCATAGTTTACTAGGTCTATGATAAGCCCTGTTCGTTAGATGATCTTGGATCATGAAGAGTACGGAGCAGTGACCTCACCAGATCCTTTAGATCATAAAAGCCGTCTTCTTTTCAACCAAATACATCCGTTTTACCGGATGTTTTCGGATCCGTCGGTATTCTTTTGAACACATTTTTAGATCAGGATCGTCATTAGTCAAAATACTTTAATTTCTGAATCGTAAAATTTTTGAGATTCGTTTTGCATATTTGGTTCGAATCTTAAAATTCTAACCTAAAAATTGTAACAAATACCTGAAGGGGCTAAAGTACGAGCAATTCAATACCAAGAAATTGTTTAACAGATTCATAAGGCTAATAAATAAATAAATTTCCGTATCGGTTACAACTTGGCAAAAGAAGGTAAACAGATTTATAATCTAAGTCTTAACTCTTTGTCGGCATATTTTTCGCAGATGAAAAAATCCTGGACTAACTAATCAAATTTAAGAAATTATGAAAACCTAATGCTAAAAAATGTTGGAACACGCTGTTTTATAACGGATTAAACAGTTTTAATATGTTGCCTGCAGGACTGAAATCTACTGACAATTTAATAACTTTTAAGAGGCACTTAGTTAATCACATTAATAAAAGTACTTGTGTGTTATAGGCAAATTAAAAGTGTTTTCTTTAAACTGTGTTGTATCATTGCGAGTACTATACAGGGTGTCTCATA